ACGTTAATCCACTTCTTTGTACGTTTTTGGTTTTTGAATGTATCAATGTTTTGTGTATGATACCTGTTTGTTTGGGTAACAATCATGTCATAAAATTCATCATCAATGAATAAGTTTAAAACTTCGTTTACGCTGTCGTTGCAGTTTGGAAATATTTTTACTCCTGGATCTCCTAAAAATTGCTCCAAATTGCGAGGATGATCTATTTTACTCCATATGGTGGCTGGCAACTCATCATCTGAAAAATCACTTGAGTCCGACTCCGGTATTGGTAGAACTACATTCCTTCTCTGGGCAAAACAAAACCTGATTCACTACTGTCGTCACTATCAGTATATGCTTCAGCATCCGACAAAATGTCTGTAAAAACTTCTTGAATAAACTGATCTTCGTGCTCTTCCATACACTAATTATTTTAAAATAATATGATGAAAGTTGACTGTCAATAACGTGAGATGCGAATGAGAATATTTTTTTAATTGGGAGGAGTGTTTTCAAATTGAAGCGCTGAAAGTAGGGTTGCTATTGGTCACTTTTCGGCAAAAATTACACTCGGAAAATTCGATATGTTGCCGGCCGCCATATTGTTACAACAGTTGTTAATCGTGTAAAACAATTAAAAAACCAATTTAATCTTGTAAAAGCGATTAAATAAATAAGTAATTAAATTCGTAACTACAGTTTACTTAATCCTCTGATTTTAAAACTACCGCCAAAAAATAGCTTTAAAAAATTCAACTGTGTAAACGTGACTTTTCGTTTTACTCCTCCGAATTTAAAAATATAGTTTAGAGTGCCATGATTTCATTTGCTTAAATATTTATGTTGGCTGTACTGGGTATACGGTTCAAGAGTTGACGTTTTAAAACGTCAAACATAATTAATTGCTTATATAGGGTTATTTTCTAATCTTAAACGTGCGAAATGACTTTTAATTCTCAAATCTCAGAGTGGATAATCTACAATATGTAACGCAAAAATACGTGCGTGGCTCCCAGTTTTGCTAATCATAAAAACGTAAAAATACGTGAGCGGCGCCTGACTGTTGACAATATAAAAACGTAAAAATACGTGAGCGGCTCCTCACTACTGATAATATGAAAACGTAAAATTACGTGATCGGTCGCGAAAGTGTTAAGACAAAAGTCGGACGTTACTTTAGGATATATTATGACAATGACAACTAAAAATTATGATTACACACATACTAGATTTTAAACAAAAAAAATAAGTGCGCCATTGGCCGTTGAAGATTTATCCACACCAACTAAATTAATGGGCAACAATATGTAACCGAAAACTGATACTTATACAGCATACTTAGAATGAAATTTTTATAAAAATAATTTTAAAATTAGACTATTTTTTTAATAATTAAAAATGATTGGGGCTTTAATTTAAATAAAAATGTACTAAGGATATAACTTTTGTGGGCACACTGTATAGCATTGCTTCTTCCGATTTTCCGAAAATTGACTATATTCTCGTTATATTATTATTCTGTATGCCAAGTTTAAGCTACTTAACCTAAGAAAAGCCATATTGCATTTAAGCTATGTACGTCGTCAGTAAACAAAAATAACACTTCCGTGCGTGACGTGGACCTTAGTATTCTGGTCATAACTTCTAAATAGGCAAATGTTGGCAGCTAATTTTTTTATGTGTTTTAAAGAAAAAGTGTCTTTAAAATTATATATATTTTAGACCATCGCTAACTGCTAAAACTCTAGCTAAAGAAATCTCGAAATTGATGGCATCGGATAATCCCGCGTTTATTGTTAAAATACAACGATGAAATTATTTATTGGTACCTGAATTAGGTTCTCCATTGAACAACCTTTTCGGGAAGATATGACGTTATATATGTTTCACACTAAAACTTTATATTAGCAGTCGTTAAAAATCACTACAAAAGTAATCGAAATACGTGTGAAATCAGAGACATATAAACTTTGATAATTTTTTTTTTACTTAAATACGTCATATAAAAATAAAACTTATGTTAATTAATAAAATCTGACATTTCTACTATAGGATTCAATTGAAAAAAGAAATAAATTTCGACTTTCGAAAAACCCATTTATGATCAGCAAACGATTCAAATTGCCCATAGTGCGTCGGTCCTAAACGCGAGACATGACCTTTGGAATCTTAAAAGAAAAAGGTTGCACGCTAGGAATATATAATTCGTATGGTATATTCCCAAAACCATTAAATAATTCCCGAATTATTACACTTCCTACGTGGCTAATAGAACGCAGTCGGTCAGAGTTAGAGGTTTTTCCTCGCAGACGTTGTCAGTCCCATCCGGGGTCCCTCAGGGAAGCGTTCTTGGACCTTTGCTTTTTAATATTTATATTAATGACATATTTAAGTGTTTTAAACACGCTAACTGTTTAATGTATGCAGATGATCTAAAGATCTTCTGCCGCGTGTCTAATCCAAGAGATCGTTCTGCTCTTCAGCGAGATCTATATGAACTTGCTCAATATTGTTGTACAAACTTCATCACCATAAATTATAGTAAATACTTTACAATTACTTTTACAAAAAAGCCTGGTCCTATACGCTTTGACTACATCGTTGGAGGGAAGTTGTTGAACAGGGTTACTTCTATAAGAGATTTGGGCGTGACACTTGATAGCAAGCTATTATTCAGTGAGCATGTCGATTACCGAATCGACATTGGCAAGGCTTTTCGTATGCTTGGTTTCGTCATGAGATCGGCTGCTGATTTTACCGACACTAGTTCATTAATGACTCTCTATTATACGTACGTATTTAACATTTTGAATTATTGCACTGTTGTATGGAATCCTCAATGTGATTTATTCGTGGAATATTATGCTAGAAATTTCATACTACCTATGTTGACTCAATCTTTCCACTTGATACGACTCGGCCAACGGCGACTTGCTAATGATTAGAGCTCGGATTTTTATGCAGTCAAATTATAGGAAATATGCGCATAAATATGCAAGCTTTTTATTCAAAATATGCAAAAATATGTGGAAATATGCAAACATATACCTTTCTTATAGTTGTTATCAATCTATTTCTGTCACATTTTTGTATATGTTTTGCACTTTTCACATGTTCTATTTGGGACTTCCTCTCACACGTTATCTTAAAAAAGAATAATTAGAAAAGTTAGCCATAGATACTCTAACAGATTAAAAATTTAATTCTGAGACGATAAAACTGATTCGTATTTTTCATTGTCGGTTGTGTAGAAACATATGTAAAAACATAAGTAGTATAGAAACGCCGATTTTAGATAGGAAGTTGCACCTCCGCACCTCCGTGACGTCATCANAATTTACCTCGAGAGGGACAGTTGGTTTTACTCCAGGATAAACGATATCCGCCTTCAAAATGGCTACTGGCTAGAATCATCAAATTACACGCCGGTTCAGATGGCCTCGAACGTGTTGTTACAGTGAAGACTCCGACCACCACCCTTACACGACCACTCACGAAAATTTGTTTGCTGCCAGACATCGATTAAAACTCAATACCTACTCAATTCATGTTTAAATTTTCTTCAATTTCATTTTGTATTTAGGTCTAATTTGTATTTGTATTCTTTAGTTGCCTACGGCAAGGCGGGCGGTTAATGTTAAAAGTTTAAAAGTTAATTTGTATATCCATGACCGTATCCATGGCCGTATCCATGGCAGTTTTTTCGTGTCGTTCTTTTTTTGTCAACAATTATCAATGTTAGTATCAATGTCAATGTTCTCTGTAAAAGTGAATCCTCAATACATTTTTCTATAAAAACAGTGTTAATCTCATCCTTCTTTTTCGTTAAAGTGTGTGCGTCTCGAATATAAAAAGGTAAGACAATATTCAGAACATTTAGACATATGTGTGTATTTGTATGCTGAGTTACATACCTATTTGAAAACATGTCAAGAAAGAAATATTTATTTAAATAAATGAATAAAAATCTTATCAAATAAAATATATATGAAAAGCATCACATAGTCGAAAAAAATGTTTATAAATTCGTTCGCGAAAAACTTTTATACCATGTGGTTGTTTCTGAATGACATGATAGGGAATTATCCAATTCCTGTGGTGAAGTAGCAGCATAAGAATAATGTGGCGAATTTGGAAGTTCATTGCTTCTTTCACATGTAGAGGTTCTCTGATATGAAGTTATAGGAGAAGGTGCATTACAGTTGGTGCCAGAAGTTGACGGTAAGGATGAAGCAGCTGTATGTTCTTGTAGGTAATATAATTCCTCTTCCATTATTACCTGTGCTACTCTATATTTTGCAATCACTTGACGTTTAGCGGATAATTTTTTAATCGTTTTAGCATGTCCCAGAAATAGCAAATCAAGATCGTCATAAGTCATACCCTCTGATCTGTCTTTATCTTTATTTTTTAAATATGATAAAACCTGGGAAACGGATGACTCATTGTTGTCTTGCATAATTTTTCGCTTTGGTGCACTTTTTTTTGATAGTTGAGGAGTAATGTTTGATTGTGATGACTGCAGTGCAGTATTTGTTTGTAAAGAGAGGGGACAAATGTTTGATTTTTCGGCAATATTTGCGGATGATCTAGCCAGAAGTACACCAGAACTACTTCTATACGTTTCGGCTTCTATTATCTGATCTTTCTCCTGACTATTTCGAGTGGCTTCATTACCTGTCGTGTCCACATTACTTGTTGTTTGAGCAAACTGAAAAAACGGCTTGAAAGCAGACATTTGAGCTGCCCAAGGCCATGTTTTATAGCGATTAATATTTTTGGCTTACTGACCTGTATGGGTCTTTTCAGATCGAAGATGTTTTGCGTAGCAGTCGCGAATGTTCTTCCATCTTTTTTTTGCTTCGTCACCTAAAAAATAATTACAAAAAATCTAATAAATTTACCACCACAAATACACCTTGAAGAAGTTACTTATAACAGCTCTTTATAATGCTACTTTATTTATATTTTTAAGTTCCTTGCTACTGGGGATTTTTTAAAAACAATCGGCCATAGCTATCGAATGGGATTTACGACCGTGAGCCAATTTATTAATGAAGTTTGCGATGCGTTATGGAAATACCTGCAGCCTATTTATATGCCTCAAGCTTCCACAGAATTATGGGAAACAGTAATTTCCGGATTTGAGGATTCATGGCAGTTTCCCAACTGCCTTGGGAGCATAGATGGGAAGCATGTTACCATCAAATGTCCTCCTAATAGCGGTTCGAATTATTACTGTTACCTTAAAAAGTTTTCTATTGTGTTATTAGCTATTGTGGACTACGATTACAAATTTATTTGTGTGGATATAGGCGGATATGGTAAGAACAGTGATGGTGGCATTTTTGAGGCATCTTCTTTTGGACAACGGCTGTCCAGAGGATCATTGAACATTCCCTCAAATAGAGCTTTGCCTGGTCAAAATGAAGAAACCCCGTGTGTACTTATTGGCGATGAAGCATTTGCTTTAACACCTTTTCTTAATGAGACCATTCCCATACAGATTGTCACGTTATGATACTCGAAAAGAAAACTACAATAAGCGCCTATGTCGTGCTCGGAGAGTAGTCGAAAATGCCTTTGGAATCTTGGCTCAGAAATGGAGGTTATTTTACAGGCCCTTAGAACTCAAGATAGAAACGTCTATAAAGATTGTCAAAGCAACATGCATTCTACATAACTATTTGCGTACGGAAAAAACGGATGCACCCTTTTCACATCTCTTAGAGGATGCAGAGCCTGTTATAGGAGTCTTAGATGTTCTTCCAGTTGACGGCCGAAGGGCTACAAACTATTCGTTTCAGATACGACAAAATTTTGTGAATTTTTTTAATATGTAATAACTTTAGTATTATCTCTCTAAGCCATACAAAATATAAACATGATGTTAGAATAATATATTGTTTCCTTTGTAGAGAACCCGAAAAGGGCTACAGACCCTTTGACCCATTGACTATGGGCCTGAACACATTCAATATTACTTTCACTAATGTCTACAATATACTGCTAAAAAATGTTAACATACATACCTTCTATGTTAAGCAAAGTTCCTATTTCGCCCCTAATCTTATTTTTGCTTCTGTTATTCTTATATTCTGGATGTGATAAATCATATAGTATTCTATGTTTCTTAATATTTTCGATTAACTTTTCCGTTAACTGTTCCGTTGCAGAGTCCATATTTCTCGCGATCATGCGGCCAAACTCGTCAAGTCACAACTGGTCGCCACCGCGCTCTAAAACGCCGCCAGGACGCACTTTTTCTGGAATCATATCGCGCCGGTATGAGTTACGTCATTCATTCTCCACAGCTGCGATCGGCCGCCAGTGTGACGCCGATCGTGACCGCGGCTGCGATCGCGCCAGTCTGCGTGTAGCTTACATCTCGTTTTGGATCCAACATCTCCTTCGGTATGCAGGATTTGTTTTTGCGTATGGTTCCTACATATGATAATAATAATTTATTGAATCAATCGCCAAAAAGAAAATAACAAACAAAATATAATAATAATAATTACAATAAAACACAGCTTCTATCTTCCGACGCCCAACCAATCGTATGGCATGATTCGGTAGCCCGTTCTTCCATCATGACATAAATAAACCATACTATATCCTAATTTACAAATGCGCTCGGTGCAGGACAACAACATATAAATCAAAATATTAACAATGATACTAGGTAACTAAAAAAAATCGAACCGAAAAAAAAAAATCCTGAACTAAAAGTTTCATCAATTGCAAAATAAATCAAAAGTCGTCAGTTCGGCACAAGATTACCATGTGCGCCCTGTTATGTCGCCACCTCAACTCCCAAGAAATAACCCCTTCAGCTGCCTCCTAAACTGTTGTTCAGAAGTACACACCCCCAGCGGTATAACAATAGAATTATAAATCTTCGTAATTTGATAGCTAAAACATTGTTTGTATAATTCAGTCTTATGTAACGGTGGTGTTAAGGTACCCTTAAATCTAACGTTGAGGGTGTGCACATCCGACCGGAATCTGACTCTATTTAAGAGATACTCAGGCTTACCACACAAAATTATTTTTCGATAGAACTGACTAGCATGCACCAACCGTCTAGAATTCATATTTAGCCAATATGCTAGAACAAGTGTATGACTGACATGGTCCCTTTGACTTAGTCCAAACAGTAATCTCAAACAAGAATTTTGTACCTTTTGTATTTTATGTTTTAGCTAATAAAGGGATAGTATAGATCAGCATAATTAAAATGTGATAAAACCATGCTATCATAGAGCAGGCGTTTAGTGCTTTTGTTAATATGCCAAACGTTTTGTCATCAAAGCCGTGGCCAAATCAAAAGATGAGAAGAAATTATCGGCATATATTGTTCGTCCAGAACCAGCGTGTTTTTCGACCAATTTCAGAACAATGTTCTCACTTTCAGAACAATTTACCGCACACGCTTTATTTGCTTGTTTTTATTGTTAATTTTTATCTGGACATCCGGAACATATAGACGTTCCAAGTTGCTCATGAGTATGTTCTAAACGTCGTCGATGGCGGCCGATTTGCTTTTTAATAGTCAGGATTCTTGGCACACCATAGCTCTTGGGCCTTCCGGTACATTTCACGCACAATTATACTAACGATCTCAGGTGTTATTAGCGATTTAAATATAGAAATCGGGTTTCGCATAATCCCTGGAACCGGGCTTTCACGACCCACAATGGCACAGTTATGCGCACGAAGTCTACCTGTGGCCGGCGGGGCGCTTGACCAAAGCTTGTCATCCTTTAAACGGTATTTTATCATCAAGCTCGCCGAACGTGGTTCCTCGTCCATATCGACGGCTTCAAGCGCTTCGGTTGCAGCTGCAGCGCCTTCATATAAATCTTCTAAATCCTCATCATCTCCATATGAAGTCTCCGTTTCTATAACGGTGTCTGTCTCAGCATCAGAAGCTGCATCTTCTACCGTCGCCACATAATCAGGATCCGTGTTGTCGTCGCCATCAAATTCATTGATTTCCTCGGCCTCTCCATCAGCACCGACTAACCATATGGCTAACCTTTCTTCCATTTGACTCCTCTTTTCTTCCGATAAATTTTGATATCTTGTGGTGCGATTCACCATGTCCATCATATCATCACCGATACTAGTTGCTGATACCATTTGGTTTTGCGGAAAAACCCCAAATAAATTTACTTCAATAAAAACTCGCAGATGTTTACACTACAAACGCTGCTGCTATATACTAACACGTTGCCTGCGCTCTATTCAATCTGTACGTTCTACATACACGTTCAAACATATTTAAATCGCCTGCCCCATCATTCATGCCACACATCAAGTGTGCACAAGCAGGTCTGCACAGGCCCGCTTGGTCCGTTTGAGCCATTTAGTTTGTCAACACGAATAAAATCGAACACAAACATATAAGCGGTCTGATTTCGTACTCATTGTGTTCGCCGTAGCCGCTTCTAGGAAGTCATGAACGGTTTCGTCTCTAAAACGCAAAACAAAAAAGTTAGAGCCACGTTTATATGCAAAAGGGGCTCCCAGGGTTAACTTAGCTGGTATTATGTGAGATTCATGTAACATGTTTTAGTCTTAGTCATAGTTATAAGTTTTTAGTGCTTCATTTATCATAATCATGATTTGCATTGCTTTAACTATGATCACAACTAATTGTAAGACTTAAACATGTTGCCTCAATTCGTGATTAGACAATTGGAAAGTAAACACTATTACCTTTAAAAACCTGAGTAAAAAATTCTGGTTTGTTTAACATATCTCTCAGTAATATGGTTTTATTTTCATAATTCTTCTTAAATCTTCGAATCTGTTTCTCTTTATTCATTAGAATTCGTCGCAGTAATTTTTCTTTGGCTGTTGCACTAGACTGGCTCTTCTTAAATACTGACTCTGTAGCGTCTTTTGTTGTATTTAATTCCTGTAGACCTACATTACAAAGTAAAAAAACCTTCTTGAGTAAAAAATGATAGTATATTAGAAAATAATAATAACAAGCACAGAAATTAATTAATATTTGTTTTTGACAGCTCTCGGCATAATATAGTATTGTATTGTTATTGTGATGTTCGTCGGAAAATAGCCCCACGTTTTATTTTATTTTTATTTTCTTTGCTTTTCAATTATTTTAATAAAAATGACATTAGTAAATTTAATAATAAGTTGGTTTTTATTAAAACTGAAAAATTTAAATATTCAAATAGAATTATGGAATTATATCTCAGGGTCAAAAGCAGGTTCTGGCAACACTGTCCAGACAAACACGTGCACACCTTAAGGTGGAATGTTGTCGACAAAATTAACTGAATTTACTGAATATATGAAACAAATTCTCTAGATTAGTTAATACGAAGTAATATTTATCAATTCGGATATTATTATGGTTTTAAACTCGTGAAAAATTAAGTTAATTAGGGAAATTGTAAACCTAACCTAAAAATTTTATAGTGAACTTATCAAGAAACTTTTCGTATTGAAGGTAAGAGTTTTTTAAAATTTGAATCAACAAAACGAAACAATAAATGGCTTGTGGCCACTGCTACGTCTTTACTCAATAAAAGTACGAAGATGTGTTCAACTAAAAATTTATTTAGAATTGGATCTATTCTAGTTTGCATTTTAATTTGTTTATGATTTATTGGTGGAAATTCTTGTAAATAGAATAAATAACCCATATCGACGCTCTCTTCATGTTTATGTTTTAACGGCAACCGCGACAATGCGTCCGCGATTATGTTCTCTTTGGAATTTATAAATTTAATTGAATATTGATAGGTCGATAAAATTATACTCCACCTTTGCAAACGACTAGCAGCCAGTACGGGAATGCCTTTTTTATTTCCAAATATACTAATTAAAGGTTTATGATCTGTTAATAAGGTAAAGTTTCGCCCAAAAATATACTGATGAAACTTTTTAACTCCATAAATTATCGCGAGTGCTTCCTTATCTATTTGCGAGTATGCTTTCTCTGATTGTGATAACGTTCTAGATGCGTATGCAATCGGACGGACTTCGCCATTTAACATTTCCTGCGAAATGACCGCGCCAATTCCATAAGAACTTGCATCACATGACAAAAATAAAGGTAATTTAGGATCATAATGCGTTAATACTCGTGGTGATCCCATTTCTTTTTTAATTGACTCAAAAACTACTTCTTGTTCTCTATTCCACCGAAAAGGTGCATGTTTCTTTAGTAATGCGTATAAAGGAACTAATTTAGAAGCAGCATTAGGTATAAATTTTGCGTAATAATTAACTAGACCCAAAAAAGCTCTAAGTTCTGTTACGTTATTTGGCGTTTTACATTTTAAAATAGCTTCGATTTTACTTGGAGAAGTATGAATTCCTTCTTTATCAATTACTACGCCTAAATATTCCACCTTTTTCATACAAAAATTGCATTTAGATATTTGTAGCTTTAATCCGTAAGTTTCTAATTTATTGAAAACTTCTTTCATAATTTTCCAATGTTCCTCTTTTGATTCGGAATATATTAAAATATCATCTAAAAACACCACTACTCCTTTTACATTTACAAACACATTCTCCATTAATCGTTGAAATATTCCTGGGCTACTGGCTACTCCATAAGGTAATCTATTATATTTGAATAACCCTTTATGAGTATTAATTACTACTAATTTCTGTGACTCTTCATCTAATTCAATCTGGGAATACGCTTGTGATAAGTCAATTTTTGAAAAATAACAAGACCCTTTTAATGTAGCCAATAAATCATCAATTTTTGGAATTGGATATTTATCGATATTTAAATAATTATTTATAGTAATCTTATAGTCCCCACAAATTCGTATTTGTCCATTAGGTTTAAGGACAGGTACA